GACCGCCTTGTTAACAACCATCTCTGTCTAGGGACCAAGCCTCCTTCCTTTCAAAGATTTAGTGCGGTACTAGTGACTGCCTCCCTGATTCTTCAAGGGGTACCGCTCCGATGTGAATCTTGAAAGATACTGATTGTACTAGCTAGCATCTATCTCTGTGGCTGTGTTTAAACACTGCCCACAAGCAACTTAGAGGAAGAAAGGGTGTATTTGACTTAGAGATTATAGTCCATCATCTAGGGAAGCCACAGCAGGAGCTTAGGGGAGGAACCTGGAGCAGAAACTACCAAGGAAGTCCCTTTACTGGCCTGCTTCCTCTTGCTAAGCTACCTTTCTTCGGCCATCCAGGCCCCCTTGCCCAGGCTTGAGAGCACTTCCCTCGGTGAAATCAAGAAAATGTTGCACGGACAGGCCCGCAGACAAATCTACCGGAGGCTGTTCCTGAGCCGAAAGGTCCCTCTTCTCAGTGTTTCAAGTTGACAACGCTGATACGCTTCTCCAAATGTGTCCCTGTGGCATCTGCATCTTATCTCACAGTCACAGAAGGAGACACGGGAGGGGAAACGCAGCTGCCACAGCCACCAGAAACCACGAGAGCACAGGTTTTGAGAGTGGAAACACATTTACAACAGTGTCAGTCCGCAGATTCCCTCCATCGACCTTTCCAGGGATGGATCAAGGAAACAGATGAGCGCATAGGCAAGGGGGCCATTGAACCTTTCCATCTGGGCACCTGAGTACAATTTAAGGGGCAAAGTGCCTGTCACATGCCAAGAACTGATATGAATGAAGCCTCTATGCTTTTTCCTGTGGGGTTTTCTTTCTTTCTTTTCTTCTTTTTTTGGATTGGGTGTCACGGATGTCAGCCTTGCCTCAATCCCACGGTACAGTTTAAACTGACCTTCAACTTCTGGTCCTTCTACCTTCACCTGCCAAGTGCACCGCCACGCCTTGTCTTCCTGTAAGTTTAAGAGATCGGTGCTTCGGGTGGCTTCTGCTGTCCTGGTTCTGTATTAATTACGCCCATAGCAAGAGGTGGCAGCAACATGAATGTGAACGACCACCAGCTAACCAGAAACAAAAAAAACTTGGTAATTCCTCCAGAAGAGTCAGCTATTGACAGAGGTTTCTGTCCTGCAGTCCCATAGCCATTCAGTTCCAAAGAAGCACATGGAGGCCTACATTAAGTATACACTGGTTGGCCTATTAGCTCAGGCTTTCTTATTAACTAATTCTTACATCTTACATTAACCCATAGTCCTTGTCTGCATTAGCCACGTGGCTTGGCACCTTTTATCAGTGAGGCATTCTCATCTTGCTTCCTCTTCATCTGGGTGATGACTGCAGACTCAGCCTTTCCTCTTCCCAGAATTCTCATATTCTGGTTGCCCTGCCTATACTTCCTATCTGGCTACTGGCCAATCAGTTATTTTTTTAATCAGTACAAGTGACAAATCTTTACAGGGTACAAGACCATTGTCCCACAGCATTCAGTGATGCTAGACTGCTAGACTCATTTATCTGAACAATGAGATCATTATGGTTTTGTAAATGGAGACACATTGGTCCCCCATGTATGTGTGCACGTGTCTCTGTGTGTGTGTGTGTGCGCACGTATCTCATTTTGCGTTTTTGACAAATACACACTGTCCTGTCTCTGCTGCGGGAGCTCCTCCTGCTCCTTCAGCCAATAGCTGCTGAGATACCAGCCCATTGGGGCGAGGTCTCTCTCTCTTTAAAAAAGCAGCGGCAGCCCTCCTCTCGCTCTCTGGCTTCCGGCTCCCCTTCTGGCTCGTAGACTCCTTTCCTGTTCGCGCAGAGGGGCTGTTGTCTGGATGGTAATCTGTAAGTTTTTTCCCCTTTGAATAAATAACCATTCTATTAATCATAATTCCAAACTGGTGTGGGATTGTTTGTGACTTACGCCTTCATCTATCCTACATTACAATATCCTACATAAGAGCTGCAATTCCCTAAGATGCCTCTGGCTCTCCACAGCCACAAGCACATCCACTCCCAAGCTCCTGGACCTGTTCCTGACTCCATAGCTTTGCCTTTTCCCAAAATACTATACAGTTGGATCACACAGCATGCGGGTCTTTGAGCCAGGCTTCCCTCACTTAGTAATATGCATCCTGGGATCCTCCCTGCCTCTCTATGCTTTGATAGTCATGTTCGATGTTTATTTTACACACAAGATAAGCATGTAACTTATCATACAGAACCCTAGAGATGATCTGATGAACACTTGAAGCAGTCTTTACATCTTGTATTCACAGACAGTGAGAAAGATGTCAGTGTGCACAGTATTTACACACGTCAGAGGTCTCTCACTGTGGAGTCCATGGGTCTAACCCTGCTCCTGGGTTTCATTTTGAGCACAATTCCTGCAGCCAGCTAAACATCCTGTTTGTTCCTGTACTCCCTCAGCCCTGCCTGGTGATTAGGGCATTGTTTACTCCATCTTGGGTGTGGCCTGGGGGGAACTCCTTGTGCAGCATCTAGGTATATGAGGATTTTCCCAAAGTTGAATAAATGCCATTCAGCTGATCTCCTTTAGAATGACCCAGGTCTCTTGTGTGTTCTTTCAGTCTCCAGGCATTTGCCTGGCTCGCTTATGGTACAGTGGCGTGCGAACTGTACCAAGAGAGTAAGACCCCTCTGGGAGATCAGGAACTACATCTCACCAGGTAGTTCATCAAAAATCATATCTCACTAAACGTCAGATTGTAAAGTCACTCATGACAGATAGTGGTCTCCCATGTCTGGATAGGTTATTTACTGAGTGAAGTCTCCATCTGGGGATTGGAAGGTTGTTGCAGATTTTCTTATGCTGTGAATGGTGCTATAACACCTATGACATTCTTCTTGCTAAACAACCTTTCCATATTTCTAGGCGAAAAAAAACATAAGTGTGTCACAAGACATGCAGCATTCCCGAGCTTTTGCTAGAGATGATGAAACTAGCATCCAAACAGCCTGTAAACTCTACTCCCCCAGAAGACCTGAAAAGACCATTTTTAAACACTTTATTAAAATATGTTGACATCATTTTATGGGGTATTGAGAAACTAGGGGAAGAGAGATGGCCCCTGGGAACATCTGAGCAGGCGCATGAGGGTGGGTAGACAGGGCCAGGATCAGATCTTTGAGTACTGTACTGGCTGAGATTTAAGAAGCACGGGAAGGACAAAGCATGAGTTGAGGCCCTAAATAGATCCCCAAAGTCTTCCAAGGCACCGCTAAATGTTTACAAAATAGAACCCAAAGTATTTCTGAGGGGTGGGGACCCCACCCTTGATGGCATGAGGAGAAGTAGGAGGAGGAATCAGAAGGGAGCTCCCATTCTGAGTGGGCAGAATCTGGTTGGGGACCGCTGGGTTTGTGTTTACCTATAAGAGCAGACAGAAAGGTTGAAAATGAAAATGACTTTTATTTACAGAGTCAATAAGACTGACTCAGCCTGGGGTAGGTAGAGGACTTGCCTGCACAGGGCCCTGGGTTCTGTCTCCACCACCCATATACCAGGCATGGCAGTGCTTCTGTAACCACGACACACAGCTGGAAGCAGGAGGCTTGGAAGTTCAAGGCTAGCCTAGGCTACATGAAATCATGTCTCACAGCAAATAAACATAAAGCAAATAAAACAAAACAGACTCTATTAAAAAAGGAATCAGAAGAATGCAACTGCATGATGTCACTCTGGCTTGAAGCCTGGGTGTAGCGGCATGTACTTTTAATCGCAGCACTCGGGAGCCAAAGGCAGGTGGATCTCTGTGAGTTCGAGGCCAGCCTGGTCTACATAGCTAGTTACAGGACAGCCAAAGCTACTTAGTAGGATCCGCCTCAAAACAAACAAAACAAGACCCTGGCCAAATCCTAGGGTGTTTCGTGGGAGTGGTTACCATAAGTCTCTCCTAACAACCCATACATGTGTCCACCAGATTTGTAAACCGATTAGAGAAGCCAGGTCAGGAGGGAGGACAAAGGAGGCAGGTTTGGGAACCCATGGCCAAATGTCCAGCTGCGCATGCAATCAGTGGAGCCTTGGACCCCGAAGGCACATTCCCACAGTCGTGCTGAGTGGGGATTCCACCACATATCCCCAACTGTGAGAGTTCCTAAGCTATTTTTAAAACTCAACTTTGGTTTCTGTTAGGTGGTTTTACTTAAAAGAAAAAAAAATTCATACCGTGAGCATTTGTCTATGCAACATTTTTCTGAATTTACAGATATCTTTATGTTTGCCCTTTATAACTTATAATTTCCTGGGTCCTTTGACAAGGGAGATTTTTGTATTGTCCACTAACATGGCTCCATGTGACTCCTCTGTCGTTTTCTGTCTTCTGTTATATAAGATCTTGCTGCTGTCTCTACCATGATCACACTTCGAGAGTCAAAAAAAAAAAAAAAAGATGTATTTCAGGTGTCGGAGATGAAGGAGGTTGCGTGAGTTTAACCTTCCTCGGTACCCTTGTGAGCCTTCTGTGTTTAATACCTGTTTTATCTGAAGCCTGTGGAGGTTCTAAACTATTAGAAGACACACTTTCTGAGAACTACCTTTCTAGTAGCCTGAAGATATACCATTGATGTTGGGCAACAAAGTTATTCTCTGTAATCCTCTTGATGTCATAAATGAAAAAGAAGACGGAGCTAGCTCCATCTGAACTTCGGGCAAACCATTCGCTCAAAGGGACCATCAAAGGACCTGGTCCTGCCAAAATAATATTTTAAAAAAAAAAATCCAGCAGAAAGGGAAAACATTGAGAAGCACGTACAAAAATGAAATTGGTGCAAATTACCTTCGGAGTGATCGGAGAGAGACAAAACAAACCCCCACCCCAGCCCACAGGAAAGCCACACAAGAAAGATTGAAGTTGTGGCCTCCCAGAAGCCATCTTTAACGGCTTTCTTTCTTCAGTGCTTTAACCTGAAAAAAAAAAAAAAGGAAGAAGAAGAAAAGAGAGAGAAGGGGAAAAGAAGAAAAAGAAAAAAGAAAACCTACCCATTGTTAGGCCCCCTATTCATCCTTCATTCAAAGTCATCCACTATGCATTAATTACCACCGGCTTCCAGGCGCAGGGCGCCCAAATGCATCTTGTTCTCCAAGGCTCACTCCCCGCCTCTGCTATTTATATGCAGAGCCTAAGGAAAATTTCATCCTAATACTTGGAGATCTCCCCCTAATCTTTGCATACTGTAATTGTTCATAAGGGGGAAAAGACAAAAGAATGATCGCATGCATGCAGGACACTTGTTTGCTTGGCTTTCATTTTTTTTTCCAGCTGTGATCCGGGCAAAGGCTTTAGCAGGTGTCCTGCCTGCCCTCGGGTAATTTTTAACTTTCCTTCCCCAGCTTTCATGTCTGCACACTTAGAGGAACATTTCCCCTTGCTGCTTGGAGCTGTCTCTCTCCCTTCTAATATCAATCTACTATCTGGATTTTTCCTTAAGTCTCACTAGAAGGAAAGAGATGAGCCGGAAGTCAAAAGTCCCATCTAGACATTTTAATTGATAGTAACTGGCTGTCTGCTGCCACGTTCCTTTCATTCTGATTGGTGTAGGCAACCTGAAATGTGTCGGAAGTGTGATGTTGGTTAACAGGAAATGAATGAAGAGCTGGTCCATTCACTTCCCAGTTTTGATTTTCTGATGCCTTGTGAGCATGGACCAGGAATGGTGGGATTGAGTCTACAATTCAACTTTAGTAAATAGAACTTGGTAGGAAACATGTTTTCATAAGTCAGTTCTGGTACCATTGCAAATTTGTGATTTTCAATTTATTCCTCAATAAGCAACAACTATGTTGTTTTAAGGAGTCAAAAAGGAAAGAATAAATAAAATGTATAGTTACAGGAATGCAATGGGTTCGGGCAAAGTGAAAAGCAGCCATATGTCGCACAGGGGCACAAAATGTTCCTTGCAGACAGAAATTGCTCCAGACCTTTCCCCCTACTCTTTCTTTTCTGTTGCTGGGGAAACCGAAGCTTAGATTGATAGTGACTTGTCCATATCACCCAAGTCTGGTGGAAAATTCGGATCCAAACAGACTGGCAGTAGCATGTCTTCCTGGCACACCTGACACCATCCAACTTTTAAAGTCTTGGGCGGGCCATTGAGCTGTGTGGATGCAGTACAAGTGTGTCTTGCCAATCCCTGGCACCATCTCAAGGCCCTGGTGTCTTTGGGATTTCTTCGGTCTTCCATATCACTGCCTGCAGTGTTTGAAATAGAGTAGAGTGAATGTTTCCAAATGAGTGTTGTTTGTTTGTTTGTTACTGGTGTAGATCTGGCATGGTCTCATAATGACAGGTGTTGGCTTCTTCACATGTGCTGGTTCCAGACTGAAAATCATTTGTTTAGGTATCATTTCTGCAAGTCGATAATACCAACTTTAACATCATAGCCAGCATCACTTCCACGTGAAGTGAATCTGAAAATATGAGCTGTATTAATTGGAGCTCAGAACTGCAAAGAAGCGCACACATTATCTAAATTCATTAACCCCCTCATTGATAGAACTCCCCCCACTTTAGATGCCTTACATTAAACAGCACAAAGTGTCACGGAAGAGCCCAGACACAGTTTGAGAGGAAGTGAACGCTATGAATAACAACCACTGCTTTTGAATTGTTTATTCAGAGCGACCTTGATGTAATTATTTCTAATGGGAGCATACAACCTTGTAGATTAAATATTCCCGGTAACTCCAGCTTCACGTGTGACTCAACAGAGGCTGCAAGGAAAGCAATGCCATATATGTAACTCTAGGATGCTGCAACAGGTTTTAGGATCAGGCTCTTAGCGTCTGAATACTTGGCCTCCAGTTCGGTGGGACTATTTGGAAAGGATTAGGAGGTGTGGCCTTGTTGGAGGAGGTGTGTCACTGGGGGTGGGATGTGAGATTTCTAAAGCCTGTTGTTGTGGAAGTCCTTCTGGAATAAGCACTCTGACACCAAAGAGCCGAAGAAAGGAGATATCACAGCCAGACGAAGGTCAGACAGCTCCTGAAAGTACGGTGCCTGGTGAGTCTGCATTCTCATTTTATACTCTAAAGCCACAAGGTGGGGCAGGCAGGCAAGCGAGATTTTGCAGAAGCCTGTATGACTGTCAGTAGGCTGATAAGGTCAACAACAACAACCCATTGCTTCAACTATTTCTCCAGGTAATTCTGTTCCAGGTAGTGAAGGCAAGTGAAATCATGTTTGGCAAAGAGCCAGTACAAGAAATGTTTTAAATAAAGCACTAAATAAATCATTAAGTCAAAATCCAATATTTGATCTTTTCTATCTTATTCTATGTAGTGAGGAGCTGCGGGCAGGCCTGCTTTTCGTCCTGCCCGGCTTCTGCACGGCTAGCTTAGCCCCGGAAATAACAACACACACGACTCCATAAGATTATAAACTGATTGGCCCATTAGCTCTGGCTTCTTGTTAACTAATTCTTACATCTTACAGTAACCCATAATTCTTGTCTGTGTTAGCCACATGGCTCATACCTTTTCTAGCTGGGCAGCTCGCATGCTGCTTCTTCGGTGGCCTGGGCAGGAATGGCGGAGGGAGCTTCCTGCTTCCTAGAATACTCCCAGTCTCTTTGCTCCACCTCTACTTCCTGTCTGGCTCTCCTGCCTATACTGCCTGCCTGGCCAATCAGCGTTTTATTAAAATATGATTGACAGAATACAGATAATTCTCCCGCACCAATTCTACTTCACCATGGCATTCCCAGTGAGCTCTCTCTGCCTTCTACTTTGTAGATCAAGATGGCCCCCTGCCATGATGGCAACAGACTCTAACCCTCTGAAACTGTGAGCCCCAAGTGAAATGCTTCATTTATAAGTTGTCAGAGGCCATGGCCAGTTTCTGTGCAGCCGTGGCCAACCTGCAACCTCCTTGGGCCTGTATTTCCTCACTTTGGAGTGTCACGGTCAGTCTTGCTCATGCAGTGGGAGCCGGCTGAGGCAGGACAACATGACCCTGTCAAAGCAGTCTCCAAACTACAGTGCATGGCCTCAAGTCTTACGATGAGCAATGTTGCCTACATGAAATTTCAGCCGCTTCAGAGGAGTCTTCATTAAGTTTGAAAAGTGGATTATATCTTGGAATATAAGCAAGTAAATAAGTAAGAACCATCCTGCTTTCAAGTAGAAATAGAATACCACTATCAGCTTTGACTTCTTGAAAAAGAGACGAATAAAGGCACCCTTTGTCTTTGTGTGTGTGTGTGTGTATTTGTGTACCTTTAAGGTAATTTTTATTTAAAATCAAAATGAAGTAAAAAACCTCAGACCCATTGCGACTGTTTGGATTTAGTTCCATTTCCCAAGCATGCATGACACCATTCTTATTTTTCAGTTACAAGAAAGTAATCAACAATATATACTATAATATCAGAAACTCTAGATTGGAACAAGGATTTGAGGAGACAATCTGGGATCCCCTCCCCCATGCTGGCCACCAGTTGATTTGGAGAAAACAAACAGGAAATAGGAATGCTCAAGCATGAAGCAACCAGAGGCTCCTGACTCCAGACTCTGTGCTTCACCACATCCCTACATGGGAGAACAGAGCTGAGCGTCTACTGTGTTCTCTGTACCCTGGAGAACAGAGCTGAGCACCTACTGTGTGCTCTGCACCCTCGAGGACAGAGCTGAGCATCTACTGTGTGCCTTACACTCTGGAGGACAGAGTTGAGCACCTACTGTGTGCCTTACACCCTGAATGACAGAGTTGAGCACCTACTGTGTGCTTTACACCTGGAGGACAGAGATGAGCACCTACTGCGTGCTTTACATCCTGGAGGTCAGAGCTGGGCACCTACTGTGTGCTTTACACCCTGGAGGACAGAGCTGAGCGCCTACTGTGTGCTTTATACCTGGAGGTCAGAGATGAGCACCTACTGTGTGCTTTATTCCCTGAAAGTCAGGCAGAGATGAGCACCTACTGTGTGCTTTACACCCTGGAGGACAGAGCTGAGCACCTACTGTGTGCCTTACACCCTGGAGGACAGAGCTGAGCACCTACTGTGTGCCTTACACCCTGGAGGACAGAGCTGAGCACCTACTGTGTGTCTTACACCCTGGAGGGCAGAGCTGAGTGCTTACTGTGTGCTTTATTGGGCTGTAAGTTCCTAGTGAAAATGTTTGTCTTCAATTTCACACAGCATTTAAGAAATTAAGACTACCCTGAAAGCCCCCAGACCACTCAGGTCAGAGGAAGCCATGACAAACTACAGGGTATTTTTTGTGGGTGTATATGAGCCTGTGTACATATGTGTATGCACATGTATGCACATGCACACATGTTTATATACATACATATATGTATGTATGAATTGCACAGTGATATGTATATATGAGTGAATTATGTGCTCATGCGTGTGTATCCCCCACACCTGCACAAGGGATATGCATGTAATATGGGAAGAAGAGGAGATATGTCCAAGGAAGGGTGCTGATCTGTGGATGAGAGCTTCAATGCTGCACCTCCTCACTGAACAGTGAGGACCAACGCATATTGGCAGAAACAGCCTAGCTCCCCCAGTTCCCAGCTCATCTCCTCCCAAAGCATTCAGACCTCCAAGCATCTTTCTTTTCTTGACAGGGTCCCCAAACGCAACCACAGCATAAAATGATGTTCAATCATGTTGTGATGTGTATCTCACGTGACAACAGGACAGAGCACATGACTTTGATTGCCCCGAGGCATAAGAAAGTCTCAAGGGACATGGCAGAAGAGGGGCCGGAAAGATTCTAAGAGCCAGGGGATCTGGAAGTTTGCTACGAGACTGTGTCTCCTAGGAATGTCAGAAGCTACACCCATGAAATCATACTAACATGATGGCCTAAACGTGACAGAAACAAGAACAGCAACAGAAGACATGCTAGGAGGACGGGGAAGCCCATCAGAAGAACTACAGACAACAAAGGAATGTGGCAGTGGGGGAGCACACTAGTAGTTACTTAATACTAAATGGTCAGCCCTGGAAACATACACTCATAACCTTACACAGAGCAGGGCATAATTAGGAATATATATATTCATGTATGTATGTATGTATAAGCACATGTAACAACCATTAATGAAAAAAGAAACCACGAATTTGAAAGAGAGCAAAGAGGGATACATGGGAAGGTGTAGAGGGAAAAACAGGAAAGGGAAAAGATGTAATTATGTTATTATAATCTCAAAAGTAAAAATTAATAAGAAAGAGTGATTGTTGGTTACTTCTATAAGAATTGCAATCTTTAAAAAAAAATTAAAACCCATCAACTCTTTTCAGGAACACAGGAATCAGAAAGGCAAATAAAGAGAAACTGTAGTTAGGATCCCATGGCATAAGAAACACAAAGCCCTGCTGCGTCAATTTTTAGTATGTGTGTGGATGGTGCCTTTTCGCACATGTGTTAGACTCAAAACTGACATTGGTCTACATTTAACATTAAGATTAGATAAGATGCAAGCTTTCTCCCAACTTCCTCCTGTCTCTTACCTCAGCATCCATGAGCCTTATATCAAAAGCTTGTTCCCTATATTTTGAAAGAGAAATGTCTGTCTCCCTCCACACAGCGGGTCTGCACCTCGCCTGGAGCTCCTCTGATAGACACTTGCCAGTGACACGTGATGGCTCTTTTGAGTCCTCTGTCAGAAGTTGTTTACTTTCTAGAATGTTTTCTTACTTCTTCGTCGTATGAGAATTTTTTATTCATCAAGGATTATTAAGCTCTTAAGGGAAGTATAACCAGCCATTAATGTCAGTCTTCCATGGTGTTCTGGCTTCTAACATTGTATTTTCAGGTCACTTGGTGATGCTAATCAGGCAATTTTCCTGACGTACTTCAGTTTACAAAGTGCCCATAAAATGCAGTTTTGTTAAAATTTGTTAAGCCACAGAACAAAACTGCTCCCCATACGGTTCAGCCTAAACGACCGATGTTACCTAGAGCACATTTAAATGTCCTCACACAAAAAGCCAGCACTCCTCCCTGTGATCCCTCTGCCTGGACACCCAACCGCTCCTCCTTCACTGCCGGTTTTCATGGACTCACAGATTCCTCGCTGGAATCGCCAACTGCGCTATTTTTAGGGTAGAGGAGGAACTCAGCAAATAGAAGATATTCTTGAAGAAAACGTTGATAACCGCCTTAATATTAAGAACTCTGTGTGGGGCTGGGGGACCCTTCTCTTTATCAATCAATCACGTTCTAAACCACTAACGTGAATTATTAGTCTGTGTATTTTAGAGGATTAATAATGTTTTCTGTGCCATGTGATTAAAATATAAAATAACAGTATTAAGAAGGATTAGAAAATTACCTATGGACACATATTTGTGAGCATGGATCCAGTGTCGGTACTTGAAACAGCATAAGTCTCGAAAGGCCAGAACATGAAGTCATCCACAAGAGCCGGACCGTTTCCTAGCACTTCCCAGTGCTCTAAGCAAGCCAGATGGTCCAGGCGCCCAGAACCCCTGAGCTGCTGTGGGTGATGTTACCAAGTTCTTTCTGCGTATCTAAAGACACAGGAATGCTCACAGAATCACAGCTAATAAACGGTAAAACCCCCTTTAAGCACATCCTTTCCTTCTGTAGAAATAAATGAACAAGATTGATAGGATACATGGAGCTCTCTGGATTTCTGGAGGAAGGTAGATGTTACAGCAAATCCACTAAAAGTCTACTTTTCAATCCGTGATTTTTTTTTCCACTGAAAAGAGTTAGAAATGTCATTCTGTTTTCATCATTTTAATTCCACCTTTCCCTCAGTCTTTGAAAGCAGATGTGATTTTTACTTATATTTATATGCTAATTCCTGACACACAAGGAGAGAAATGTTGAGTCCCCTAATTCTCATAACAACCGTGTCATAAGTTCTGAAATAGCTCTAAATAGAACTCAGAAACACGCTGCGCTATGCCTCATGATAGTGCTCAAAATTCCAACCTGACAGAAGCGACGAATAGATTAACAACAACAACAAAAGCCTTGTTTTGGGGGGTTGTTTTCTCCCAAACCATTTCCAGTATTCAAAAGGCTGAAGGAATAAACATGAGGACTTCGGGCTGTCACATGTTTCCACGCACTGTGAAGATCAAACACCTCTGCTTCAGCTGGTCCTTCAGTGAAGCTAGAGGGTGATGCTCTTGGTCACTCCTGTGACCAAGACACATGAAGATGCCCCACTACCCTTTTCTCTCTCCTTTGGACCGGTATCGCCATTTGGCTATACCTTGGCCAGCAGCACCTGTCCATTTAGAAAGGCTCATTCCGAGAAAAGTTGATTTGCTTCATCCCTGTCACACCCACCTTCAAGATGAGTAGACAAACATGACTGACCATGGCCTTGCCTCTCAGGCACTTCCTTACCTCCAGTGTTTTCCTCTGAGTAGACAGTGGGGCTTGCTCTCTCCTCTGTTGCCCTGTTGTTTGTTTTGCCCAAACTGCCGTGTTTGCACTGCACACAGCCACAGCTCCCTCACGGCCTTTGCCTCCTGTCTGGTGTGTAAACAGTATCCGAGAGGCAAATCCGCAGAGCAGCCTGCATGGATTGGCAAGTGGAGATGCTGACTCTTGCACAGAGCCTGGCTTAGCAAAACACATCTTTCGGGTGTGTGCTTGTGTTCTCATTCCACAAGCCTGTGTCCAAACCTTCTTTCTTCTTAGAGATGGTGATGGTTCTCAGACACAACACTGTCGCTGAGTGTGGCCAGGCTGAAGCTGTCTGATTGGGATATTGGAGAAAGAAACTTTGCTTTGGAGATGAGGTTGAATTCTGTGATTCCATGATTCTAGGAGAAAGGGGACAAGGTCAAATATTCATGCGCTTAATTAATGTCCAATCAGATGTTTTGGCATGAAAATGGCATGAAATAGAGCTTAAGTTTTTGGTGTTTTGTTGTTGTTGTTGTTGTTGTTTTTCTCCTAAGAGCCAGATAGGTAGCTTGTTTGTCTTCTGAATAAACTCAATAAGAAGAAAGAGGGACGGACTGAGAGATGGCTGAGTTGATAATGTGCTTCCCTTGCAAGCACGAAGAATGGAGTTTGCTCCACAGAACTCTTGGGGGAAAAACCGGGATGGTGGTGTGTACCTCTGACCCCAGAACTGGTGATCAGGAGGATCCTTGAGCCCAGGTAAATGAGAGGCTCTGACTCACAAATAAAAACAAAACAAGCAAGGCGCAGGGGAGAGACTTCTGTGGGAGGAGGGGACAGCAACACACAGAAAAGAGAGAAACTGCCTTAAAAAACAACAACAACAACAACAAAGAATGCCGTGGCTGAAAAATGACACGAGGGTGACCTCTGACCTTCCCATGCATATTCACACACATGCACTACAGACAACATGTGCATTTGAACACATATGCAGCTTTTTCTAAGCAAATAATTTACTAGTCTTGTAAGTTAGCACCTTGGATACTCAGTTTTACCTGAACTGGTTTCGTGTGCTGTTCAAGGGCTGCCATGGATTCCTCTCAGCACACAGACAAAGGCCGAACAAAGTTCTGCATGCATCTAATTGCTCAGTCATGCCTAATTCTTGGCTTATATTCAGGAGTTAACTTTATGTTCGTGTTTCATTAACCACCACCACCCACCACCCACCCCCCCCCCCGCCATGCCTCCCCCTGCATACCTTTCAAGACTCACAGAAAACACAACCTACTTCCTGGAAGGTTCCATGTACTTGTGTAAAAAAAATAAGCACCCTGGAACCCAGTTTCTCCATTTGAAAATGGGTTGACATTTGAGATTTATCTGTTTCAGTGCAAATCAACCCAGGGAAACTGTGAAAGTTGGTAAAATCCAGTTCTCTCCCTAGGGTTGTTCAGGAAGGTATAAGAGAACAATGTGACAGGCTGAGAGCCACAGTCCCTAGCTGTAGTTACAGTCCCACCGGTAGGGGGCCTTGGATAGGATAGGCAGCCTAATCTACAGGAGTCTTGGCTTCTTCGGTCCTTATGGAAGGAGCAGAGGTTGGCTGCTTAGGTTCTTTGGAGGTCCTCTCTAACATTTTTATACTGTCCTGTGCAGAGGGAAGCGTTCTCCATTCTGCTCCATGGATCCCTGGATCCCTCGAAGCTTGCTGATTGGAATACTTTCCTGTGTCCCTTTCAAATGTTAAAAAATACATCTGATCCATACATGGCTGGTGGAGTCCCAGAATCACTCAGCTAGGCTTGTGCCTCTTTGTTCAGGCTTGGTTGGCAGTCTTTAGGGGCAGCAGACATGCCTTGTCTTTGCACTTGGGGCCAGCATCATCACACAAGGCATCATCCTCACACAGAGCCACCATTGTCACCACGATCGCCATTTGGAGGATTTCTATCAGATTGTTCTTCCATCCTTAAATGAGAAAGAAGGGGCTGGAGAGGTGGCTCAGCAGTTAAGAGCACTTGCTGCTCTTCCAGAGGTCCTGAATTCAATTCCCAGCAACCACATGGTGCCTCACAACCATCTAGAGTGGAACCTGATGCCCTCTTCTGGCCTGCAGAAGACTCATACATAAAATATAAATAATCTCATCTGATGCCATAACTCTGGTAAGTCACCAGTTGCTAGTGTCCTTATTGTAAACCAGAAGAGACCAAGATTCTTCCTCAGTTGAGTGACTGAACCAATTTCTGTGGCAGGGTCATGCTTTTGAATCTCATCTTCCTTCCGGTAGACCCACTGTAGGGAGGGTGCTTCTCGAACATTACATCACTATTATTACTTTTTTTTAAAAAAAAATTCCCAGGGACTAGATGATAAAAAAAAAATTCTAGATAAGTATTTCAAATGTGGCGTCCTAAATGTCAGTGTGTTTCTATCAGCCCTCTCTGAGCTTTCTCAGGCTGGTGGCAGCTGATCAATCATCTGATTACCTTGCTCTGAGAGAACCACGGGCCATCTATTTTTAAATGAAATAAAACTAATTTCACCTCAAGGGATTCTTTGGAACATTTTATGACATTTGTTGAGATAATTGGGGACATCCCGCAGTGTCACGAAACCAAGGTTGGGAATCAGTGCTCTGAGGTCTGGAGAAGCAAATTAAATTTTTTCTCTGGCTTTCTTCAGATAGCTTCATGTGTGGAGAGTCAACTTTCCGTGACTTTCATCACGTGTTTTCACTTCCTTCTTGTCGTCCATTCTCTCCTTTGTTTGCTAGTGTAGACTCCTACGCAGCTCGTCAGTGTGCCTCTAACCTAATTAGCTTTCTTCCGCTGAAACAATACCCCTCATTCCAAGAACGGGCAGGATTTTAGAGCCAGAAAGGGGCTGTGACCTTCTGAACTGCTCCGCTGTCAGGCTGTGCACAGGTGACTCACGAAACCCTTCTCCAGGTGCAGGAAAAGACAGCTCGGCAAGACAGTGCCCCTGTCTTAATAACAGGAAAAGGTACTTTCAAAGAGTTGTGCTAGGCTGCATTTGAAGGGATGTGACCTGACCTGATCAGATTCTGGGATCAGCAGCGCTTCAACCAGAGGCCCTTCATGCTCTCTTCAGCATGTGTTTATAGGCAAAGCCCAGCCGGTTCCCAGGGAAGATGAAATGTGTCTCCCTCAGCAGAGCCCATTTAAAGGCTGAATCTCCGGCAATGTAATGACTCCCAGGTGACTACCCTCCACCTGTTTACCAATCCGTTACAACGTCCTTGTTTACTCAGGTCTTCTCATAGGCTTCCTCCTTTGTCAATCATGTTTATTTAGCTGCACACATTCATTCATCCACTCACTCAGGTGCACTGATAGGAGTTCCTACTGTTCTCAAAGCAACGCTCATCATACTCCCTCAACGAGTCTTGCCTCTGCCTCTTCTGGCAAGTCCTTGAACTACTCCAATCATAGTTTTCTTAACTGTTATGATAGGTTCCAGACAAGATCTAAACAAACCCTGAATTCATTATTTGTGGTTGAGATCAATGTATATCCATCCAAGGGAAAAAACGGGCATGACATTCTTCAGTTCTTCCTGGGCAGTTTGCTGTAATAGCCTTATGCTCCCTAGTTGAAGAAGCAGACCCCATACAAACCTGCCCATTCTTTCAACAGCAAAAGGTCCTAAGTGTTCCAGAAGTTCATGAAACACACTTGATCTTAGCACTGTTTCATTGGTTTGTTGTTTAATAAAGATCCCTGGTACTAAGCTCCCTGCTTACAAATAATATATTTACAAATTGGTCCCCATAGTTTTATCATCCCCAAAGAGAGCCAGACTTACAGCTAAACTAGAGAAAACTGTTTCAGAGTTGCCTACCTGCCCCAAGTGTCCCTTCTCCTACTTCTATGTTCAGCAATAGGAGACTGTTTAGACACACGCTGACAGCTTCTCTGGGGTCTGTTTCCCAAGTCTTCATGCAGCCAGGAATGTCCATGAGGCAATACTATCCATCTGGGTACTACATTTCCTGGCCTCTCTTGCAGCTAGGCATACCTCTGAGGTTTCACTTGAACCAGAGGTGGGTCATCTCCTCCATGAAAAGTCATTTGCCACACTTTCGCTTCCCGCTCTACCTGATCAGTGAGAAGCTGTAGCACCTGTTACAAATGATGTTGAGGATTACCCAGCTGCCTATGAGGCATGAACCACAGTCCTCCACACTCAGGAAAGAAAGAGAAAGAGTCTTCTTTTACCTGTGCCATTATTTCATACAGAGCCTTTGCTATTACCACTTATCCCATAATCTTAGCTTTTAACCCAAAAGACAATGCTTTTGGAAGATTAAAATATTAAATATTTTTAAATACCACTTAAGGGGGGATGTAACGGGATTCAGTAGTTTCCACCACTATATTTCTAATATAGTCCAAAGAAGGTGAATAGAGTGTTGGGATAATTAGCTAATGAAAGAAACCAAATCCAGCCACTCTTGTGTTTGAGGCCTGCTCTACAAGAGCAAGGAGTTCATACCTGGTTCTAGCTAAGGAGGTCTTGGACCCTAGCGAGAGCTCACTTCTGTTGTGTAACTAAATGATGAAGCAACAAGATGCCTTCTAAATATTTGTTTATATCCATAAAGGGTTTGTTTTTGGATGATGCTCACAGAGTTCTGCCAGAGTCTTCCTTATCTCCGTGGTGTGCTTTCATATACTCTGGGACTCTTGTTTGGAAATGGGAGACTTTTCAGTGTGTGTCACAGAATGTCTGAGTCCCTTCGTGTACTTGAAAAGTTCCTATACTGGTTAAAGGAACAAATAACCTTCAGGCTCAGAACCTAACCTGTGCTCTTGTTGGAGGGGGTAGACCACAATGTTTTCTTCAGGGCCTGCTTCTCAGGTGGTCCTGTTTGACCAACTGGATCTCCATCACCATCCAACTCAAAAAAAAAAAAAACGAACAAACAAACAAACAAGAAGAAACCCCAAGAGGAGACTCTGTGAGACTGACTATATTGTATGAGTTACCACATTTTAAAATTCCTATATTATGTTTATGATTCTGATGATGGCAGCATATTTACTACAATAGAATGGATGTCAGCAGGTTATTTATGAAATGTGACCTTATGGGCTGGGGTTCAGAGCTCTATGTTAGCTAATCTTAAAGGTCCAACTACC